TATTATTATTATTATTATTATTATTATTATTATTATTATTATTATTATTATTATTATTATTATTATTATTATTATTCTTAATTTGATTATTGCTGTAATAACTTTCTGATATGTAAATAGAATCTATAACATTTTGTGATGATAATGGTGATGGTGGCGATGGGGAGTTATCAGTTTGATATCTATCATTGTTCTTTTCTTTTCTTTTTTCTAAAACAAAATTATCTGACAATTTATAATTATTATTGGCCATAGGTGTAATTATAGGAGTATATTCTAAATTATTATTTGGAATATTAGTATTTTCATCTAATCTAAACCGTTCCTTAACATCACCGTCATCATTTTTCTGATTCACTTGTAAAGAAAAAGGAAGTTCCTGTGAATTTTTATTATTATTGTTATTAATATCATTAATTTTTTTTTCAATATGTAATTGCCTTTGTGTAAAATTAATAGTTTCTTCTGTTTGATTTGTCGACTGCCAAACAGGAGACGTCTTATAATTTTCTAAAATTATTTGTGGATTTTTAGGTTGAGTAGGTAATGTGTGAGTAATTTGTTGAAAATCTACTAAAAGAGTATCATCATCTGAGGTATTGTTATTATTGTTATTTTCATTGTAATTTCCAAAATCTGCCCAACCACCTAAATCATTATCTCCTTCAGACCCACAAGGATTATTCCACGATGATACATATCCACTTGTGGATTTGGGTTGTGTGCCATTTTTTACTTGTTTACCAACAGTTTTATCATCATAATCATAATCATTAATGATTGCTTGGGTTTGCCCAACTAGTGGTTTAACAAATGTGATCTTTTCATTGTGCACTTTATTCTCTTGTTGGAGTGATGATTTTTCAACAAAATTTCGTGATTGCTGTTGGTGAATTTGTGATTCTTGTTGATGGTCGCGATTATTACTTGTTATATTATCAATCACAATGTGACTATCAACTAGATTATTTTTTGATGATGATGACGGTGGTGGTGGTGGTGGTGGTGGCTGAATTCCATCGTTAATTTGATTAACTGGTTTAATTTGAGGAAGTTTTATAGGTGGTATTTTCTCAATATTATTATCAATATCTATTTCAATAGTCGAAGTTGAATACTGAACCGCTGAAGAACCATTTCTTCCTTTTTCTTGTTGATGTTCCATTGAATTAAAACCTTTACGACTATTTATAGGAGTTTTTTCTGAAAAATGATTATCTTCTGAATTTCTATCATTGTCGTCATCATAATTATCGTTCATATTATTGTTATTAATGTTGTTGTTGTTATAATTATTGGCTATTTTATTTTGGTTAACAACTGAAGGTTCTAAAACATCTTCTGTGATTGTTGCTGATGGAGGGAGCAGAGGTGGACAATGAAGGTTAGGAAATTTTACATTGATGGATGACCAACAATTTTGAGTTTTTTTAATTACTGTGGGCCAGGAATCACGTAATTGTGAATGATTGGATGAAGATGAAACTGAAGTGGTGCTGAAGGAACTTTTTGTATCTGGTATATTCTGAAAATATTCACTTTGAAATTCATTAGCAGTCATAGATTGTGGTGGTGACATACAATGATAAAAATTAATATTGCTATTTGGAGTAACTGGGTAATTAGTATCAAATCCCAAACTATTTATCGTATTAGAAATATGCGAGGGATTTGGAATTTGTTGCTGAGTATAATTATACTGTTGTTGTTGTTGTTGTTGTTGTTGCTGCTGCTGCTGCTGCTGCTGCTGATACGGTTGCTGCTGATGATAATGTTGTTGATGTTGCTGCTGATGTTGATGCTGTTGATATTCATTAGAAAATACTTTTTTAAGAGCAATCCCAATAACTTCTGAAGATAAACCTAATTCTGAAGATAATGCATCAAGTTTATCTTCTGGAATTTTTAATGCTTTATAGTTATTACTGTTTTTAGGAATTAATGAATTATTGACTTGGTTGTAATTATAATTATAATTATTAATGTCATAATTAACAACAGCAGAATTACTATTTGGGAATGAGGGAGGCATTTTCTGTTGGAATTGAGCTAATTTTTTGATATTTTCTTTTTCAATGGTGCATTTTTGATGAGCATCACCAACTGAGTCTGAGTCATAGCTTGCATTTTGTTGTTCTGTGGCAAATTGATAAACAAAAGAATTGGTAATAGAAGGTGCTCCATTGAAAACTATTTTCTCAAGTTTTGGTGAAGATTTGACAAACCAGTGCACAGTTTCTGGAATAAATTGACCACATGAGTCTATAATAATGTGGGTAAGTGAAGAATTGGTTTTACGACCAAGATATTTAAGAGACATATCTGTGACATTTTTGCATTCAATTAGGTCTAATACATAAAGATTATTTTCATTTTTTGCAATGCTATTGATTGAGTTATTTGTAATATGTGGACATTTTGAAAGTCCAATTTTCTCCAAATGTTTACAGTGCACAGTGATTGCTGAAATTGCGTCATCATTAATTGGTAAGTTTTCAAGCGTGATAATACGCAGGTTGTGACAAACTGGTCTTAACCATTCTATTTCATTTGACAGATTATCAACTTCTTGTAAGCATCTGAGATCAAAATTTATTAATTCTTTCAGATACATTACAACTTTAAATGATTTTATTGTGAGTGTTTCACCCAATAATTGAAGATTTTGCAGTTTGGGATTTTTTTCTGCAAAATGTTCTATATTTTTATCAGTAAGGTTGGAACAATTTTGTAATACTAAATTATTGAGCTTTGTTAATTTTGTTGCTAATATATCAAACCCTTTTTCAGATATTGCCTTTGTTGAAAGCTTAAGAGAGACTAGCGATGGGCATTTGATTGCTAATGCTTCTGCAAAATTATCAGTAAGATTAAAATCGCCATCCAAATCCAATACAAGAAGATTAGGTATACAACTCATTAGTGAATTGAATGCTTTATAAGTCAATTGACTATTGCCAACAACTAGGATTTCTTTAAGTTCCGGGCAATATTGTGATAAAGATTGTACGTGATGATCTGTTAGATTCCATCCATACACTTTGATCCTATGTAACTTTTCACATAGTTCAACGAGACTTGTTATAAAGGTTGGTTTTGATAAAACATATCTTGACATTGTTTTGTGTACAGGATGTTCAGAGCTCAAAACTGGCGCAAAAGAATTTGTGACGCTTTCATCTGGAGCACATAGGTTGAGAACGCGTACTCTTAAAGCACGTTGTTTTGATTGTTTGACCGCACGGAGAAAGGAGTCAAGAGAATCTGGCGTTTTGAAAATTGGCTCTGACCATAATACATTCATAGCAGTTGGAGACCATGTCTTATTAACCAAACATAAATTGTATCGATCTCGTGAATCTAAAAATTCTGCTATGCGTTTGATGAGTTTGGATTGTAGCCTGAGAGCCAGATTAGGTTCTAAAACCTCTTTTTCTTCAAGATCTGTTAGCCAGTTACTCGTCATTATATTTTATTTGCAAAGATTAATTATTAATTATTCCAATTATTCTATTCTTTATGTTATTTTTTTTCGAAAAAAAAAAAAAATTTTCATATAAAAAATAAAAAAAAACTAAAACTAATATTATTTATTATGTAATTTGGTCATAACTAGTGAAGAAATTGCAGGGGTCCGAATATACTTTTTATTACGTATATACTAATACATCTATTTAATTTTTTTGATGATCTTACCAAAAAAGAAAATCATAAGAAGAAGACCCTGAATACGCCACACCATCTATTATGAACAAAAATGGATAAATAGTGTAGTTCTTTCTAAATATGATAATTTACATATGACGAAGTTCTAAGCAAAGTGCCTCGAAAAGTATATAAATTTGACTGTGCCATATATACAAATTTGCATAGGATTTAATAAATATTTTACATTATAGAATTATTCTTTTGCATTTACTATGGGGCACAGTGTAAAAAATTGGAGGGGCGGGTATCACGTTACACTACATATGTGTGACTAAAAATATGTGCAGAAAAAAATATTTATTAAATTTGAAACAACTTTTCTTTTAATATTGTTTTATTACCCAAGAAAATATAATTTAATATTGTTTTGAATTAAGTATTTTGAGACGACTTTCTAACATAACTAATTGGGGTGTCCCACATTATATGATTTACAAACATAGTCGATCACATATATAAATTTTTATTAAGAAGGATTTTTTGTCAATCTTTTTTTTAATAGTAAACTTTGAACAAAAATAACTCTTTAAAGAACAGAGGTACAGATTCCAAATTAAGTTTAAAATATATTAGAAGGATAGGGAAATGTCCC